TAGCATGTCATTTTCGTGCTCTACTTTTGCTATAAAATGTTTGCTGGCAGATTGTTTACATGTTATTCAATTTTGCCAAGGTTGTTGTAGTTGAACCTTGCATGCTATGAACTTGTTCTTGCCATGGATAGCTTCATAAACATGTCTTCTTGCTGATGCTATGCTTATCTTGTCATGCAATGACTGGTGGTGAGTGAATCGAGCTCGCGAAGATGCCTTCATAATTCTGTCAATGCCCTGCTTTGTTTGCTGAATCTGTTAACGAAACTTACTATGTTTACATGGGTGTCATCATATCTTCTGATCCTTTTTGGCTCATGGTCAGTAAGGGACTTTTGTTCTATGCTTTGAGTAGAATCATGCCATGTCTTGTTTTGATATTATAAGTTCCTGTATCATGTTGATTGCTTGCTCTGAACATTGCTACCTGATGTTGTTTATGCCATGTCCAAGCTGATATCTTTTGCACTTTTGTCATGCTTGTTTGAACCTGCTATGGTGTGATTTAGCCGTAGCTCAGTGTTCCTTTTTTTCAAGCATCACATGTAGATCACTGCCATATGCTTTGTTGTTATGTTGGGGTGCTGTAGCATAGTTTCTTGTTGCATGCTAAGTAGCATCATGCTGTTAATCGCAGATTTGTGTTATTCTTGTTTTGCTTGCCATTTGCAAACCGTGCATCCGTTTCCGGTGATCTTTATATCGGTTTCAACCGAAATCATCTCATCTTTCCAGCGGCATGCTTGGTTTGCCAAGTTGATGCCTTGTTCATCCTTTTTCCTTCCGGAGCCCACATATGCATTACATATCATATCTCGCATATCATGCCATGTTTTGCATCATGTTGCTTGTGCATTGCATCGTGATTTATTGTGGTTCCATTGTTTGTGTTCTTGCTTTGGCTAGAGCTGGGAGATGAGTACGTGAACGAGGAACCTGTTGAGTACACTAACGAGGATCAAGCCTTCGACAACTCTGAGAGCTTTGCATGCAAGATGACCATACCTTCGATATCACTTCTATCTTTGCTTTGCTAGTTGCTCGCTCTATCGCTATGTTAGCTATACCTACCACTTGTTTATCATGCCTCCCATATTGCCATGTCAAGCCTCTAACCATCCTGTCCTAGCAAACCGTTGTTTGGCTATGTCACCGCTTTTGCTCAGCCCCTCTTATAGCGTTGCTAGTTGCAGGTGAAGATGAAGTTTGTTCCTGGTTGGAACATGGATATTTTGGGATATCACAATATCTCCTATTTAATTAATGCACCTTATATACTTGGTAAAGGGTGGAAGGCTCGGTCTTATGCCTGGTGTCTTGTTCCACTCTTGCCGCCCTAGTTTCCGTCATACCGGTGTTATGTTCCTTGATTTTACGTTCCTTACGTGGTTGGGTGATTTATGGGACCCCCTTGACAATTCGCTTTGAATAAAACTCCTCCAGCAAGGCCCAACCTTGGTTTTACCATTTGCCACCTAAGCCTTTTTCCCTTGGGTTTTCACGAGCCCGAGGGTCATCTTTATTTTAACCCCTCCCGGGCCAGTGCTCCTTCGAGTGTTGGTCCGAAACGGGCAGACTGCAGGGCCACCACGGGGAAACTCGAGGGCTGGTTTTACTCGTAGGCTGACCTATCCGTTGTGCCCTAAGAACGAGATATGTGCAACTCCTATCGGGATTTGTCAGCACATCGGGCGGATTTGCTGGTCTTGTTTTACCATTGTCGAAATGTCTTGCGAACCGGGATTCCGAGACTGATCGGGTCTTCCCGGGAGAAGGTATATCCTTCGTTGACCGTGAGAGCTTATGATGGGCTAAGTTGGGACACCCCTGCAGGGTATATTATCTTTCGAAAGCCGTGCCCGCGATTAGGAGGCGGATGGGAATTTGTTAATGTTCGGTTGTAGAAAACTAGACACTTGACTTCATTAAAATGCATCAACCGTGTGTGTAGCCGTGATGGTCTCTTCTCGGCGGAGTCCGGGAAGTGAACACGGTTTGGGTTATGTATGTACGTAAGTAGTTTCAGGATCACTTCTTGATCGCTTATAGCTTCTCGACCGATGCGTTGCTTCTCTTCTCGCTCTCACTTGCGTACGTTAGCCACCATATATGCTTAGTGCTTGCTGCAGCTCCATCATATTACCCCTTTTTCCTACCCATGAGCTTAAATAGTCTTGATCTCGCAGGTGTGAGATTGTTGAGTCCTCGTGACTCACAGATTCTACCAAAACAGATGCAGGTGCCGAGGATACCAGTGCAAGTGGCGCAACCGAGCTCAAGTGGGAGTTTGATGAGGACCTTGGTCGTTACTATGTTTCGTTTCCAGATGATCAGTAGCGGAGCCCAGTCGGGATGATCGGGGATCTAGCATTTGGGGTTATCTTCTTTTCATTTGGATTTGACTGTAGTCGGTCTATGAGTGTATTTTGAATGATGTATGAATCTTATTTATGTATTCTGTGAAGTGGCGATTGTAAGCCAACTCTCTTTATCCCATTCTTGTTCATTACATGGAATTGTGTGAAGATGATCCTTCTTGCGACAAAACCATCATGCGGTTATGCCTCTAAGTCGTGCTTTGACACGTGGGAGATATAGCCGCATCGTGGGCGTTACAGACTGAGATGTATCTTATATTACTCTTGTGTCTGTCCCTACAGAGAAATGTCAAGCGATGCTTAGTCAAGTCCTTGCAGCTTGCTGCGACTCAGTTACACACGCTGATGACATACACGTGCTCTGCCGGGTTACCTATGTTTATCCATGTACGATTGTGCCACCTTCATTTATAACTAATCATGTTGAGTTGGGTTCTCTATCACATATTTGCTTCTTTTGTGGAATCTCTATCACATAGTTGCTTGCGACATATTCATACAAGAGCATCTCCAACGCCGACCCGCAAATCTCCCGCATCAGTCCGGACCATGCTATCTGGACCCGGGAAGCCGTCTAACGCGTGCCTGTATCAGTCTGCAGCATGGTCCGGACGCGCTTTCTACCGCAAACCAGAGATAAACATGAGGGAGGTTTACGGAAGTACGGACCGCTGTCACGCTCACTTCTGACCGCCATGGCATATCAAAAACCCCTTCCCCTCCCGCGTGTGCTTCCCGCCCGTCGCTAACTGCCTGCATTCATGTCGCTATAGAGCACGCCGCTCCACATTGAATGCGGCTCAAGGCGGACATGACCTCTCACTGCCTCTGCCATTAAAGCGGCGTGCCGGTCGAGGCACCGCCCGCTGTAGGCGTGGCTGAACATGCCTTCTCGCTACATTGAAACGCCTCCATTATACCCGGGTGGAAGCCGAGAAACTTACACCGGCCACACATCTGTTCAGGACAGGACAACATTAAACACAACGTCGGGCAAGCTCCTCCCGTTTGCCCTTTATTTAAATAATGCCATACGCCGGGCAGGAATCGCACCACTCTGTCGCTCCCCATCTCCTCCTTCCTCCATTTCTCCACTCTTTCAATGGCATACGACAAGCAGGAAGATCAGTTCTCCGACATAAAAGCCGGTTGGCTGGCCTACCGAGCCTGGTGGATATGAGCGAGGCAGCTCGCTACTCCAGCTCCCTCGCCTAGCCCGATGGAGCCAGTTGCCGCCCCAAGCCGACGCGTGATTCAGCAACTCGCCACTCCAAGCCAGCTCGCATAGGAGCGGCGAGTTTCTCCAGGCCGACACGACAGGGAGCACGGTGGCATGGTCATCATCTGCCGTGGACGACGTCGTGTCGTCCGCGCCTCCCATGCCTGCGACCGCGCCATCTGCCATCAACGCACGCGTAGCCGCGCTCTACCGGCAGAGATAGGAGTTGGGTGCGCGGAGATCGATGAGTCAGTAGCCACCGTGTTCGCGTCTGCTGCCAATATCGGGGGGAAAGTAGAACAGGGAAGGCTGTCGTCGCTTTGTCCCAGGAAGGCCATCGCCGGCGCGTCGCCGGCTTGTACAGCAGGTGATCTTTCCAATTCTTTATCTTAGACCATCCTGGCACCCGTCTGAGCTCCACGGAAACACCCTTCCCCTCTGGTGGAAGTACCCTCCTTGCCACTCCGATGAGCTGCACAACTGGACTTAGGAAAGATACAGGGAAATAATATGCCTCCGGGACTCCCGGCAGTCCGGTTAGGGGGCTGCCGGACATGGGGAAGACAAAGGGATCCGCCGCGTCCGGCTGTAGACTGTAGTGTATCTGTGTCGTGGGAGTGAGGCTCCGTGTGACTGTGGGTGCACATAGTGTTATCGTTTTAGTTAGAATATGTTCAAAATGTAACCATTCTCGTTTGGTTTGTATGAAATTCGTCATGTTTATATGAAATCCGGTCATGTTGCCATGCGTTTCATCCAGTTTGTTAAAAAAAGTTTGAAATGTATGTGGCTAGCGTTGGATGGCAGCCTCTCGCATCCGTGTCCGCGGACTGGTCCCTTCTGTCTTTGGACGAACATGGGAGAAAATTTACAGGGCGCGGTTGAAGATGCCCTAAGTGGGCCAAAAGTCGCTAACAAGGTCCGGCCAGGTAAAGTGGCGGCCGATTGTACATGTGCCTAGACACACTCGCAAACCAACCTATGTTTGGATGATTAGAGAGATAGTGATATTCTAGCCCATCATGGTTCAAATCCCGATGCTAGCATTATTTTTGGATTTATTTCAGAAATTCCGGCGATGCGCTTTCAGTGTGAGGAGACGTTCTCGTCGACGACATGGTGCCCTACGATGACTTGGAAAATCTCATGATGATATTCCGGCTTAGTCCCTCGAAAATGTTAATAGGGTAGGGTGTGATGTGTGCTTTCATAGGGATGAGTGCATGCGTATATGTATAAGCATTTGTGTCCGTACCGTGTTAAAAAAATACCTAAGACACACTCAGTTTACATTTGCGTGGTTAAAAAATAGCAACAATTTAGCAATGTTGTTTTTCGCGTGAGGCAACTGGCCACCTGTCCCATAGCAGCACACCTGTGTCCCAGAACCAATTTACAAAGCCATGGCGTCGACCTACCACTACCGGCCATATCCTCTCCCATTGACTGCTGCACCCCCAGCGTTCGCATCCCGCTGCCGCTTCCCGATGGCCTCCACCGGCCCCCTCGGTACGTGCTTTTCTCGCAATACTTTTCGAACCTTTAACTTGACCTAGCCAAAATTGGGATGCTACTGTGAAGCGCATGGCGTGCTAGATCAGGCAGGGTTGTTGAAATCGGGAAGGGGCGTGGGCTCGATTAGGTAGAAATGTGCTGAATTCAGCAAATCGCCAGAACTAGTTCTAGATTCCAGACCAGGAAGATCAGTTGGAACATCGCACGCAAGAAATAGCGCAATGCGCCAACGGATTCCGGGTTTAGGGGGTTCCCCGATGCAATTCTCATGATAAACATTGACTAGATGCGTATTTTGATGGCTGTTTAGGCTATGTTCTTATTTTAAGGGTAATGCTATCCAGCGAATGTTCCCTGGGAAGGAAGACATTTGCGAATATTTTTCGCTTGCGGGACCATGGCAATTCTTTCAGGCGAACACGGGAATTTTCACAGCAAAATCCCTTCTTTGCAGAAGTTGCCACGTGTTCCTGAAGAAATTGCCATGTGCTTTCGAAGAACTTGCCATAAAAAACGTTCGCAGATGCCATGCTTCCCAGGGAACGTTCGCTGGCTATTGGGGCCCTATTTGTGAGTAGATGCTTCTTCATGTTAAGGGAAAGCCGTCGTCAGCACCCTTTTTTTAGTTCCGTTGCACATGACTCTCCACATGCACCGCTAATTGACAGGGCGCCTGTTTTAATATATCCTCTTTTTTCTTGTATCATTTTCCTTGATGACAGCAGGAGTATCTCATGATGCAGGGGTCACGGTGTCCACATCGGAGAGTGTTGGTCAGAATGACTTGCTGATTGTCGGGCCTGGTGTGCTTGGTCGAATCGTAGCTGAGAAATGGCGACAGGTAGGAGAAGTATCTTCCTCGCTAAGTGGCTCGCCTGTTATATTTTTAAAATATCAAGAACTTTCCTCATACCATGTTGAGCTAATGAAATGATTATTTTGTTGAGAGATTTGAATTTTCCGAGCTAATGAAAGAAAACAATTTGTCATGTTCAAATCAGGTCTTGTTTCTAGTTAAATGACATTTGTTCCTCATAGCATGTTATCATTTCTCCGGTGGCCTTGGAACTAGTAAATCCTGAAGATATTTTCGTTGAAAAGCAATAACTTTCTAGTTTATTTGATATCTACCATATGTATCTTTTCTGTCTGCAAAACGTGAGAATTGTATGCTTATAATATATTTTGTTTTTTCTTCTTCTTTGTAAATATTGTAAAGAATTCAAGCATAGCTTTAATATATCTTACAGGAGCATCCAGATTGCAAAATTTATGGCCAGACTGCAACCACAGATCATCACAGTGACCTAACTAAAATTGGGATAATTCCCTCCCTGAAGGGACCCAGAGTTGATCAGAAAGTTCCATACGTTATTTTTTGTGCTCCTCCATATCGCACGGATGATTACCCTGGGGATCTTAGGTAAGCAAAGTGTTTGATTGTTTTTTCATCTAAGAATAAACTGGAAGTTTTTTCAAATACAGTTAACTTAATATTACAGTATATTTATTTTGTGTATATGATGGTACATCACGGTGGGATATTTCCTGATAACAAAATGAGCCTTCAAATCGGCATGCTTATAATGTTTGGCGGCATGCATCTAGAAAATAGTTGTGTGCTTAGCAAATGTTGTGGATATAGGAAGTATATATGGCGTGTGGTTATGTACGAATATAGTTTTTTGGACTTCATATTCATATGTTTTGAAAATACAAAAGTATCTGTTATTGTCACTAATCATAGTTGTTCAGAAGGAGCTAGAGTATTTTTCGAATCTGTGTAGATGGTATGTTATTTTAGAGATGCCATATATGTCATTCGGTTGTTTTTACGAAGTCATGCATGATGTTTTCTCTTTACCAAAGACATCTTATATTTAGTGATGGAGGTAGTAGTTTGGATTCATAATCATTGTGTTATACTGCTCTCTAGGATCAAATTAAATTCAAAGAGAAAGAGATGGATGGGGCATGCACTATTTGCAGGAACTGCACATGTATACACTGAGAAATTTGACTATGCTTTTTTTTTGGTAAAAACATGGCTGAGGGTTGCTTTCGTACCTCCATCCATCTCGTTGTATGGAAATTTGATTCTGAGTTTTCCCATCCTTCCTACAGAAATTTGTGAAAATTGAAGCTTATGTTGCAAACTTAATAAACATAAATTAGTCTAGGCTTAAGGTGAATATACCTTCAAATGATCAAGACACTGAAAAGATTAAAGTCACATACATAGAAAGAACATTATATTAAAATTTGGATATTTAGTAGGACGTGAGAGATAATGTTGTTAACACCATCATCGCATGGTACTGTGGACAAATACATGAATCCAATCTATTTTAGCATAATTTACATAAATGGAGAAACGGGAATTTGATCAGAAGTGAGTTCATTGTTGTTGTATAGCGAAACCTTTCCTTGACAAAACCATTCTCAGCTAATAGAAGCCGAGCTATCTATCCAGATCAGGGTTGAACGAAGCGAATGGAAAAGCCAAAGAAAACATAAATCCATTGCGATTAGAAACCAGTGACTCTACAGCCAGGGCTCGATGGCGATGTAAGATAGAAAGAATGGGGAGTTAGGGCTTCGGTTTCCTCTGTAGCCAGTTTCAATTCCAAATCATTTGCCGACATGCGGCTTCCTTCCCTCCTCGAAGCAGGCTTTCGCCCCGCTTTATATATAAAGCATCCCTCGTATGCGTACCTTTATATATCAGACTTATCACAAACTGAGAAACATAAGATGGGAATAGTTCTCGGTCTCTAGGAGTCTGAGCAGAGGTGTTTTCCCCATTATGTCTTATCACTCAAATAAATGCTTTTGTAGTTGCATCTCTAGTTTGTTATATCAACATAATGCACCAGTTGGGGTTATTTTATTATTAATGTGATAAGACTATGTATGAGAACTGCTAGCTTCAATAGTGATTTATACTGTAATGATAATAAATGGGAGATGGAAACTACTAAGATGCGCACTAGGTATTCTTATTTTCCATTGATTGTCAGGATACTCGGAGTGATCGATGATATTTTTGTACATATTAATACATACCCAAGACGAATTATTGATGCAAATAAAATAATATTATTACAATAAAACATGACATGCACTTAGTGTATGAAGGACATGTGCAATATCTTATTTCAGAAAAAATGTGCAGAGTTGCTGCATCAAACTGGAGTGGGGAAGGCTCTTTCCTGTTTACATCAAGTACTGCCGTGTATGACTGCAATGACAATGGATTTTGTGGCGAGGTATAAGTTTAAATCTAATCTAAAGTGCTTATTGTAAAGAATCAAAGTTTTCTTATCTGTTTATTCTTTTTTTGTAAGAAAAATATTGCAGTAAATGATAAATTAGTCGTTTAGTAAGCTGAAGTTTGTCGAAAGCTTTTACTTTTTGGTGATGCTCTGGTATTACCTCCTACTATCTTGATTTTATTTGACCTTTTTCCATTTCACTTTTGTAGGATTCTCCTTGTGTGCCGATTGGTAGGAGTCCTCGGACTGACGTCCTTCTAAAAGCAGAAAATGTCGTCCTCGAGGCAGGAGGCTGTGCCCTGAGGCTAGCAGGGCTTTATATATCCTCACAATGAGGCTACTTTTTATTCCAAACATCAAGCATTGTTAAACATAAAATTTTCCAAACTCTTAATACGTCAGAGTGGAGAGAACCAGTGCAGTTTGTTTCCTTGACTTACCACACAAAAAGGATCAAGGTCCTCATGTTTTCTGGTTGTCAAAAGGAACTGTAGATGCACGACCGGATCTCATAATCAGTATGATCCATTATGAAGTAAGATCTTCTACTTGTTTATTAAATGATAGGATAGTCGCTAAATGAGTTTGTTGCAGTTAGATTGTTTCAACATATCTCAACCCAACCCATATTTGATCAAACCATCCTTGCCCAACTTCATTCCTCTTCACAATTTAAATAAATGCTCAGAATGGTATCCATGCTTATCATTCTATTGACATAATTAATTTCTATCAAGACCGTCTGTTCTGTTGATTACATGTGGGTGAAATGGTATATCAGGGATATATTTTTTATCATCTACTTGTGCTATTTGCAGGATGCTGCTTCGCTTGGAATTGCCATCATGAAGAGGAGACTTCGCGGGCGTGTCTTTGTGGGCTGTGACAACCAACCTCTGTCCAGGTCACTACAACCTTCATTTTTTTTCAGCTCGCCGCCTGCTCATCTAAGTTCAGTTTTGCTCTGCCTTGCAAGTGTGTTGAGATGAGTTTGGGGGCTTTGCAGGCAAGAAATAATGGACCGTGTTAACAGGAGCGGGAAATTTGATGGCAAGTTTGAGGGCTTCACAGGTTAGTTGTTCAGTCTAGCTGTTTTTCTTGGGGGGTTTATTATACACACGATTACAAAGTCTGCATCTTCCCTGGCTTCAGGTACAGATGGTCCATTGGGGAAGAGGATGGATAATTCCAAAACTCGGGCTGAGATCGGCTGGGAGCCCAAATATCCTAGTTTCACAGAATTCCTTGGTCTCAGCAATTGACATCTTATACTGATTTGATAGCAGATACAATCTGCATTATGAATTTCTTCTACAGTTATCCTAAAGCATGGTACCATACTCGTAGCGTTTTCCTTTTGCGTGGAAACACGGCATATGTATTAATCAACCTGGAAGACGTTGGTCTTGTATGTATTTTTCCTTTCTGAAAATATGAACAAAAGAGCAAAAAAAACGAACTAACCTGCAGGGAGCCACTTGGGCCGGCACAATGTTAGCAACGGAATGACCTCCTTGAGGCGAGAACTCCTTTGGTCTCGCAACAGGCGATACGTAGCTGCCTCCCTATATATCGCCGGTACCGAGACATAACTTGATCTCGCCTCTGGGCGCGAGGGAGTGGGCCAGCCTAGTACCGTAGCACCTCTAGCTTGATTTCTCTCTCTCTCTCTCTCTCTCTCTCTCTCTCTGCTGTCTTTCTTATCAGTTTTCACTGTTAACAACAGTTTATTTCAGGTTTTCTATGATTTTCTTTGGTTTCCTTTTCTTATTCGTTTTTTTAGTTTTTTTGGGTTTCTTTGTTTCTTACTATTTCAGTTTCCTTTTGTTTTCTTCGTCTGTTTTTCTTTTTTTTTTCAACACATGTCCACTTTTTTCATACAAATTGTGCATTTTTGGGATACATTAAGAACATTTCTTATACATGTCTAACATTTTTTCAAATACATGATTATTGGTGTCTATATTTACATACGCATTGTATATTTATTGTATACATCTAAAACATTTTAAATACATGTTTATTATTATTTTCAAATACATGTTTTTGAACATTTATCCAAATTAGTGTAAAACATGTTTTCAACGTTGAAACTTTTTTTTAAATGACACAAAACATTTACTAAACTATATATAACATATTTTTAAAATGTCATGAACATTTCCTTGATATGTGTAAACATTTTATAAAAAAAGTAATATATATTTTATTGAATGGTACAAAACATTTTCTAAAAATTATACAAACTTTAAAAAAATATATAAACATTTTTACAAATGTCATGTACATTTTCTTGAAACGTGTTGACATCTTTTAAATGCTGTGAACACTTATTTGAATATTATTACATTTTTGTAAACTAGTACTGTGGCAGATTTTTGCACTATGTTAACATTTTCAAATTCGTGGTTATTAAAAGTCTAAAATAATTGTAAGGTTTTGGAATATATGTATTTAGAATATTTTATAACATTTCTTTCAAAAATATACATATAAAAGGTAACCTGTAGGAAGCTACTTGGGTCGGCCCAATAGTAGCGACAGAAGGCCGCCCTTAAGGCCAGGCCTCCTTTAATCTCGCAACAGGCGATACATAGCCACTCCCTCAATATTAAGCTCTACGTCATCTTTCGAAGGCGCCTCTCTAGCAAGCCCAAGCCTAACAAGAGCATACAGACCACATTAGCCTCAACCTGGAGAAGCGTTTCCTATTCAGCACTTCAGCCGTCTGTTATAGGCCATTTTGCTAACGGGCGCCTGAAAGGCACACCCCCCCCCCCTCCCCCGCAATCTGGGCCAGCCCATCAAGGTTTTTTGTTTCTGTTTTCCAAAACTCAAAACGCAAGCGAACTTCCTGGTTAGTTGCACAAGCAACCAGCACACCACCGCAAATAGATATGCTTGCTTCCATCTTCTTCTATTCTTATCTTCTATATTGTTAACTGTTTTTTTTCTGTTTTCTTTTTTCTTTTTCCTGTTTTTGTTTTTGTTTTTTTGTTTTTCCTGTTTACGTTTTTCATTTTTTTTCTGTTTTCTTTTATATTTTCTCTTCTTCCTAGTTTGATGATTTTTTTCCAAATTTGTCAACTTTTTTTCAAAATTGATGAACTTTTCTCAAATTTGACAATTTTTTTCTCATATTCGATGAAGTTTTTTTTCAAGTGCTGAACTTTTATTTAAATTCATGAAGTTTTTTCAATATGGGAGAACTCTTTTTAAAATTTGATGAACTTTTTTTCAATATTGATGAACTTTTTTCAAAATCTTTCAAATTTGGATGAACTTTTTAAAATTCGGATGAAATTTTTCTCAAAATTGATAAACTTACGTTTAAAATTGTTGAACTTTTTCAAAGTCGATGATTTATTTTTCCAAAATTTTGAATTTGTTTTCAAGATCGATGAACTTTGCCTAAATTTGCGAACTTTTTCACGAGTTGATAAACTTTTTTTAAAATTCGATGATTTTTTTAAAAACCGCTGAAGTTTTTTCATTTCCAAGAACTCTTTCGAATTTCTATGAACAACTTTTTTCTAATGCGTACCTGTTTTCAGTATTGTTTTAGAATTCTGTTTCGAATTTGTAATTTCTTTTTAAAATAATTTATATTGGATATATATAATACGATGTATGTTAACTAGAGGAAGGGTCAAATAGAGCTTTTTCCTATTTGTGGCTAATGGAATGAGCTCGACCTGGTGGTTACGAGCACTACTGTCAACGCTCGCGATCGAAGTTCGAATCTCGCTAGTCGCGAATAGCGCCAGAAAGACGCCTTTAATTATTTTCTGCTGCGTTTGAGAGCAGATCGTTAGCGATGTTTTGATGGGTTGCGGCCCGTTTCTGGTCGTTATAGGCGCCACTTCTCCAACTGGCGCCTACAACACCGAGTAGGAACTCCCACCTGGAGAGGTTGGTTTGATGCGCATATTGATTGGCTTAGCCCAGATCCACCATGGATCATCACAACAAACACACCAAATGTCCATGAACACGGGAGCTTCTATTGGTCGCTCATTGTGTCAAATAGCGCGTCGACACACAAGGGACTACACGACTAAGCCAGCCCATGAGAGACATAGAAACGAGTAACGTATTTATAGCGCAAAAATTCCCAGAAAGAGGTGCCGATGATAGACAATAGAGCTGATGACGACTTGTGGCTAATGGAATGAGCTCGACCTGGTGGTTACGAGCACTACTGTCAACGCTCGCGATCGAAGTTCGAATCTCGCTAGTCGCGAATAGCGCCAGAAAGACGCCTTTAATTTTTTTCTGCTGCGTTTGAGAGCAGATCGTTAGCGATGTTTTGATGGGTTGCGGCCCGTTTCTGGTCGTTATAGGCGCCACTTCTCCAACTGGCGCCTACAACACCGAGTAGGAGCTCCCACCTGGAGAGGTTGGTTTGATGCGCATATTGATTGGCTTAGCCCAGATCCACCATGGATCATCACAACAAACACACCAAATGTCCATGAACACGGGAGCTTCTATTGGTCGCTCATTGTGTCAAATAGCGCGTCGACACACAAGGGACTACACGACTAAGCCAGCCCATGAGAGACATAGAAACGAGTAACGTATTTATAGCGCAAAAATTCCCAGAAAGAGGTGCCGATGATAGACAATAGAGCTGATGACGACTTGTGACTGATGGAAGCGCAAATTTTGTAAGAATTATACATAGCATATATATTAGCTGTAGCGCGGTATTTACTATAGCATATATATTTTTAAATCATTTGAACACATTTCTGAAAACACAAGCAATTTTTCAAAAAAAAAATGTTTCCATTTTCCAAATTTTGTTCATAAATTCAAAAAAAAAAATCCTCGTTTTCAAAAAGTGTCCGGGTATTTCAAAAAAGTTTGTTTCTTTGCCAAAGAATGTTCACGTTTCTTCAAAATATTGGTTATGTTGCCAACATGCCAGATGCACCCCTGTTTTACAATTTCAAGCCCATATTCAATCACGGGCCATGTCGAGAGGCATTTCCCGTGATTGTATGAGTTAAAGGATTGGCGGAGTAGTACTTTACTCGGAGGACGTGTGCACATAATCTCTCAAGGAATTGGATTAGGTGCCAGGCTTGATGAGCTATAAGGCTTGATTGAACAACCTGAGCTCCTTAACTCCCATCTCACCTCTCACCTTATGTCGAAGCATAATGTCCTAGCCCAACTAGTGAGTTTTGGGTTTGCCATGTTCATTGCAGAGGATATATGGAACCTTTAACACACTCGTGATGTAGACCTAGAGGGCCTAAGAAATAACTTTGATCTTGATCTCCACGCCCCCTATGGATAAGTAATTATCAATGTTAATTTCATCCAAATTCTTTGATTTTTCCCGACTCATTATGCCCTCCTGTGTCGGGAGGCCAAGATATTTTGTTTCAAACGTGATCTGAGTTATTTGGAGAGTACCTTTAATGTCCTCCTGAATGGTAGTTGGGCACACGAGACTAAAAAGGATGGAACACTTGTGGGGGTTAATAACTTCCCCATTCTTTAGCGTATATTGTGAGGTTCCTTTTTTACTTTTAGCTGCTTGTGTTGCCTCCGCCTTAAAAAAGAGCAAGGAGTCATCTGCGAAAGCAAGTGTGTAATCCCTGGAGCCTTTTGACATAGTTTGAGTGGTGTTACGGTACCCTGGGCAGCTTCACTATGTAGGAGCTGCAGAAAGACCATCAACAACAAAAAGGAACAAGAAAGGCGAGAGTGGATCACCTTGGCGTAGACCTCTCGTCAGGACAAATGAATCAAGGAGGGTTCCGTTGCATGTAACCAAGTTGCTCACCAAGATCACATAGGACTTCATCCAATCCACCAATCGGGGAGCGAAACCCAACCTCTGCATTATTTTTCTTTGGAAGTCCCAATCAGCCATTTCATACGTTTTAGATGAATTTTTCGTGCTCCTTATTACAATGCTCAATAGCATTAGAGCACTCGAATACCACCAAAGCATTATCAGTGATCACTGATGCGTGCATTTTGTATCACTGTTTCCTATTATAATTTACTCTTTATTAATGATATTGTGCACATTATTGCTCAATTCTAATGCCCTTTTCCCTTAAATTTGCATGTAACACACGAAGAGGGAAATTATTAGGAGAGTATCAGACAACTCGAAAACAGGGGCAAAACAAAGGACACACGAAAAAGTATTTTTATGGAGCACCAAAGGACCTAGAAACTTTACTAATTTTTTTCCCGAACGAAAGAAGTCGATGTTGGGGAACGTTGCAGAAAATAA